CACGAACCGCAATCGCACAAGAATACCTGCCGCACCACCAGAACTCCTGTCCGGGCGGCGGTGGCGCAGGCAGGCGGTGGGCCCGCGGGCCACCCGCCTCACATACACGGCAGCGGCCGCCTTAATCACGGCCTTATTTAATGCTCGCCTCGTCACGTGACCGGCTATGCAAATGCGTTGTCCCCCAGACCCAACCCCCCCGGCCGGGCTGGCCAGCGGGTGCCGCGCCCGCCCGGGTGCAGCAGCGTGCTGCCCAGCGGGGTGGGCAGAGCAGCGCACATGTGTCGCGCAGCGACCCACGCCCGAGCCAGGGGGTCACTTTACGGACCTAAACTGTTCACATTTGATTTTAAGGAAATACCCGACTAATACTCTGTCGACCTGCAGCCCCAAAGAAAAACAAAAACAACACAACAACATCCGAATGGAAATGGAATTTATTAAGTGGCTCGTGATATATCCGGCGTGGCTGGCGGCGGGCAATGCGGGGCGGGCGGGGGTGGCACCCTGCGGTCCGCCCCGCCCCGCACTACTACAGCATGGGGAGCCTTTTAACAAGCCTATGAAAATGAGCAGGAAAGCATTACGGCGCTGGGCGACGGGAGGTCAGAATAAGGGTAACCGGGTGACTTCGTATAGTACTACCGGGGCGGGAGCTGCCTCGCGATCGGTTGCAGGGGCCGGGAGTAAGTGCCGGTTCCACGACATCGGCATTCGGGTGCCGCGCGGGGCCAGGGAGGGGGCAGCAGTATAACCGAATTGTAGCGAGGGGATACACTCACAAAAATCTTTTCTGTACACAAGTATTTTAGTGTTACCATAAGAGCATGTTAAACTTTAAATACGGACAGAATGTTTTTCTGACTGTAACAATAGGTTTTGCGCGTATTGACAGACGTTAGTCAATTCATTGGCAGAACTACGTTAAATTGTGAAGGTGTCACATCAAATATGACGAGGAATTGTAAATTATTCTGAACAGTATTTATCATGTGTGTAGGTGTTTAAAGGCATCATCTGCTAAAAATCTGAAAGCGTTTTCTGAGTGATACTGTTGCATGCCACATTTGTGTGGAGCTGCGGCGGCGGAGGCGGTATGATCCGTCCCCAACTGTCGCGCGCCAGGTCGAGTCTCAATCTCAGCCTCGTGCCCCCCACCCCCTCTGTCGTTCCCATGCGCAGTAAACACGTTATCATCAGTGCCGCTTCTGCGCCTCGTTCTGCAATGCACCGGCATGACAAAGTAAAGGGGCATTACTTACTGCACCGACCCGCGCGACTCCGCCGCCGCCGAACCATTTCCCGCTCCCGCTGAGCCGGCCGGCCGCCGTCACGGCTCAGTGGAACGGCAGAGCCGTACTCCGTACTCAACGGCGCAGTAATAATGATACATATTCATATCTTTCCGAGCATTACCGTCGCGGCCCCTCGCTTTCGTTTCGACGACTGCAACTCTTTTCGGCCGGCGGCCGAGCATTCCGCAGCGGGAGGACAATGTGTTGCCCCCTCCCCCCTTTCCCTACCCGGCCCGCCCTAACCTCCTCACCCTCGACGTGTTTCGCATTCAAACAACAACAACAAGAAAAAACAACAAAAACGCGCGATGCGGCCGGTGCCATACTGCTATGGGACCTTTGTGTTGTTTATTCATGGCACGAATTACCACTTGGAATTTTTATCCCAGGCAAATTATTGTGTGTATATATATATATCTCTCTATATCGAAATTCCAAAACGTCTTTCCGTCGCGGAATGAAGTGGCCACTCCACGCCACGCCACGCCGCGCCCCGCGGGCCATCGAGCCAATTACGACGTTTGAGCCGCGCGCTCTTACTCCGAGGCGACTTTGCATAAAGAGGAGAGGGAGGAAGTGTAATTAATGCACGAACCGAAAAAGCGGAGGGAGTCATGATAATAACGGGGAGTTAGGCCGGAGGAACTCGACAACTCGGTAACAACCACCATCGGCGGAGAGTGCAGGGCATAGGCGTGGGCTCGCGGGGGCTTGGGCCGACTCCAAACGAACGACAACGAACTAATACATGAATTATTTGTTTGGCATGCAGGTTTTGCGTCGGCGACCGCTTCTACCTGTGCGAGAACAAGATCCTCTGCGAGTACGACTACGAGGAGAGGATGGTCTTCGCCAACATGGCCTACAACCCGCCGCCCATCACCCACCTCAAGCGGCAGACCAACATCCACCCGCCGCCACCTCCTCACGTGAGTTCAGTAGTGTTCTGCGGGTATATGGTCATGATCATGCACCAACAAGAAAATGTCTACGGAAAAATAAAATTAAGTCAGCAATTTAGGTAACTCTCGACATAGTGAACAGCTACTAGACTAGCTAGAATGATAAATAACATCTGGACATCATTTATTTCGAGTTTCGCGAACCCGTCGTGATATTTTCTCCGAAGGGAAATCTTTTTCAGATGTGTTGTTACCGGTTGTTACAGTTTGGCGGTCAACTACTTATTTTTACTGAGTTTGAATTCATATCTCCCTATTTCGGAAAAGAAGCCACGTCTACTCCATCGTCAAAATCTCCAAAACGCTTGCAATTACACCCCCTAGGCCCCCCAAAGAAAATAATAAACAAAATTGCGATGTGTAAAGGAATAAATAGCTCTGAAAACTCAACAGGGTACATTGTATGATGAAAAATCAGCGATCATTAATGATTGCTGATAAATCAGTGTACATGGCATGATTGCTGAAATATCAGCAATTATCAATAATCTCGTTTAGGTTTTTGGCTAATATTTCCTTTCAGACGGATGTCATCGGAAAGTGGATAGCATTTCTAGATTCCTTGTGAAAAAAGCTTTCAAATGAGCTACTATGTGATAGGGTTCGCTACCAAAAATGGCCAGCTTCTCGAAAATGCCGGTTTTGTAAACCAAGTTATTGAAGTGGTGAATTTGAACCCTATCTCATAGTAGCTCTTTTGAAAGCTTTTTCACGAGCAATCTGGAAATGCTATCCACTTTCCGATGACATCCGTCTGAAAGGAAATATTAGCCCAAAACCTAAACGTGATCATTGATGATTGCTGATATTTCAGCAATCATGCCATGTACACTGATATATCAGCAATCATTAATGATGGCTGATTTTTCAGCATACAATGTATACACTGTTGAGTTTTCAGAGAGGCTGCCAGCCCCATCCTGCGCGTGGCTGATGTAACACACGACTCATAAGGTAGAGGAGGAGAATCAAACACTGATTCGAAATAGGTTCAGTCGCTGCACAGCTGGTCCTACCGACCGGTGAGTCGCGACCGCGGGGGAGAGGATGAATGCCTCCACAGATAGCAGCGATAGCGGGGGGCGGCGCGTGTCCCCGGGCCGGGGGCGGCCGGGGCCTCAAAAAGAGCACGAGGGACACGCTTCGAGAGGAATATGTGTGCGGGAGGAAGGAGGAGGACGGGGAGAGAGGGAGAGAGAGAGGAAGGAGCGGAGAGCGAGAGGGGAGCCCCGATAGATGGAGTGAGATGCCGATAGTCGCGCTGGGAGTTGTAATGCCGCGGCTGCGGCGGGGAGGCTTGCGGCTAATGTGACTTCGATAACACCATCAAGGTGGCGCCACCCCGCAGGCCCCGCAGGCCCCGCACCTGCTATCGGGCCCGCCACCTCCCCCCCTCCCTCTCTTCTTCATTGTCATTGTGTGCCAGCCGTGCCAGCATGACCCCCGCTCCGCCAGCCCGTGCCCCTCATTTTTCCAGCCTCAGGAGCCGAGACAGCAGGCCCTATGGCGGCGCCGCCGCCGGTCGGCCGGCCCCGCGCCAAATCGCGAGGAGGCCGTATCTGCAGACATGCTCAGAATGAAAGTTGAATGAGACTCGCGTGGGGATGGAGGGTTTTTCCTTCTCTTGCTCTGCTGCTGTCTGCTTGCATCCCCCTTGCCCCCTCCCCCCTTTCTCGCCGCTCTCTTATCTCTATAGCCATTGCCGTTACCTGACGGTGGTTCTCACCACTCCCCATCCTTTTCCTCTCTCCCCCTCCTGCTGCTCCAGGGGGGCCCAAACCTCGGCTCCGACTGTGTTTACGATCTGTTCGACTTCACAATGTACGTACGAACGGACGTGGCCTGCTACAGTAATCTCGGGACATGTTCCGAATGGAATCAAAATACGCCGGCGGATCGAGCCGCGAGCTTAGTCTGGACAGGTCCTCTTGGTGCTGTGTATGTGGCCTAGCCCCCCCCCCCCCACTCCCCTGTCCTTTTCCCTTCTCTGAGGCGGCGACACCACTGCGACACTGCAATAGCTTAGGAGTAGTAGGGGAGTGGGCTCGCAGTCCTGTCGCCTCAAGTACGCCAGTGCTGCCACCTTATGGCCGCCATAACATTCGATAAAGTCTCCCCAGCGGGTCTACTACTCCCCTCCCGGCTACTCCCCCTCCCCCTCCCGACCCGCGGCCCGAGCGTGGGGCTTGGGCCCTCGCATCATCTCACCAGCGCGACAATTGGCGTCGGAACATGGATTTATAACGCTTTTATTGTGTGTTGTAACAGTGTCGCCCTGCCCGCCGCGCCGCGCCCCCTGATCGCCACCAAACACACACTAGTCAAGGCGGCAAAAAACCGGGGACCCAAACAGCCATCTATGCGGGGATTAAACCGGGCAAACACGGCCCCGGGGGCGGCGGCGGGGGCGGGTCGGCTGGCCGGGGGCGGCAGGGGGACTGGCCGGGGGCAGGGACCACCACCACCACCACCATCCAGAGGGCTCAGGGATTATTTCGCCAAGTTTGGTCTGCGGGATGAAGTCCCCATCTCCTTTGCTCCCAAGCTGAGACAAACACAGATGGTGCAGCGCGCTGCTGCGGAGCTGGTTGGCGAGTGAGTTTTGTGTTTGTTTTTACCGTCCTCGTCTTTCTTTGGCTCCGCCGAGTCCGACATGAATCTGTGGCATCTGCGGTCAGCGGTGGCGTGGGCGCCTGACAGCCGCAGGGTAGGCCGGCCCGCCAGGCACGGGCGCACCGCGGCTCAGCCCACCCTGCAGGGGCCGAGAGCCGAGAGGCTGAACCGGGCTGAACTAAACTGTAGTCATCAGCCTATGACCTTTCCTGGCCGAATCAAACTTTCCGTAAGCGAATATTTCGCAAAAAAAAGTGCAAGGTGCTTTTTATGTTGTCTTTACTTACTTCAACTGGCGACTCAGTCATAAAGGCTACCAGAATAGTTTTCCCCAGGCGTGTCACTCTATACTTGTAAGACAGCGGTAGCAGACAGGTCTACACGGCGGGGGCGGCAGACTGACCTGGAACGTGCTGTATGCATAAACGTGGTCGCCCTTTCTGGAGGGGTGAGTGAGGCCGAGGGGAAGGGGAGGCGCGGGGGAAGTCTGCGATGCCGCCGGGACGGCGGATTACCTCCTTGCGGCGCCCGGCGGAATGTCTCTGATGGCAAATGTTTGGGAATTTCTCCGTGGCGTGGCCCGACGTGCGGAGGTGAGGCGGAGGTGAGCGGGCTGGTGTAGACGAGGGCCGGTGCGTGTGGCTTCAATGTGTCTTCCCCGACATCAACTATGCAGACATACTTGCGCCTGTCCGCAGCCCCCCTCCTCTCCCCTTCCTCTCTACTCGAGAGTCCACCCCCGCCGCCGCCGCCGCCCCACCTCTCCTAAACACACTCCTTGCAATGACACGAGAATCGAAAGCGGCTTAGGCAAGAGTTGCCATTGTTTGTGTTTAATTAAGGCGGCAGTAACGGTGCGGGGCCCTTTCGTCTTACGCACCAGCCCCTTGAGCCAAGCCGCAAGGGAGGTCTCGGCCGGGGCGGCGGCGGGGAGCAGGTGCAACAAAAACAGACCCATACCTTAACAATCGGGGCGGATGTTGACACGGTCAGATCAAAGCCCCTTGTAGGCGCAAACACGTCCTGTAAGACGCCGCCCCCCCCCTCCCCCTCTTTGTTCCCTCTTTGAACAGTAAACAGGGCAGAGAGCGTTATTCGGGGCATGCAGTTGCTTAATATCTGCGTCTTTCGTTTGTTTCCAGATGGGTGGCATGGGCATGGCGCCGTGCCCCTCGGACATGGGGTCACCGGACCGTCGCGGGGTGCCAGCCATGCAGCAGCAGCAGTCCTCGCAGCAGCAGCAACAGCAGCAGGCACAACAGCAGCAGCAGCAGCAGCCCGTCAGCAGCGCGGGCAGCGTCGCCGCCTCCTCCGTGTCGTCCACGTCCAACGGCTTCCACCAGGTGGACGGCCTCGGCCAGCAGGCCATGGGCGGGCTGGCGCACTCCGCGCACGGCCAGGGCCTCGGACACTCGGCCAAGTGATGACGGCAAGCCGGCAGGTCGGCGCGGCGCGGGTCGCCCTACGACCTGCTGTGAGTGCCACGGGCACCGGCTGGCTGGCCCTCACATAAGCTGTGAAAACTGTCGGACGTTTTGTGATCGGGTTTCTTTCTCTTCCTCTGACTATACGCGCGTTCAACGCAAAGAAAGGAAAGAGGAAGAAAAACAACGTTTGTGCCAAATTGGTTATTGTGATTGGGTGAAGGTCCCGCTCATTACCGCTACTTGCTCCTGGCGGAACAGGAGTGCCCCGGAGCGACCTCTCCGGGAAAACAACGACGCCTCGGCTCGCATTAAAAGTTGGCCGCCCCCTCTCGATTGCGGGGGACGGGCCTCGGCCTCGACGGCCAGGAGGGCGAGGGGGAGGAGGAGGCCGCCCGCCCCTGTGCCCGGGCCCGGGCCGCCGCCGATCGCTTGCTGACGCCGGCCAATATAATCTTCCATTTGCCAACTTTGCGGACAATGGAGTCGTGACGCCGTCGTCGACGACGACGCAGGGGGAAGGGGGGCGTCCGTAAAGCCCCGGCCGCGCTCGCGTGACGGGCCCCTAGGTCCCGCGCGTCCCGGCCCCGGGGCTCCTGCGACGCCCGGGATGGACCACTCCGCCGGTATTAATTCCTCTACAAAGTTGCGTCATCTATTTCATCGCTCTGGACAAAAGAGCTCTTTCCCTCGTAAAAATGTCGTCCGGGGACGATGAGGCGGCGATTAATCACGCGACCCGCGTCTTCGACCCGGTCGATCGGAAAACCGGCGCCGTCGGCCGGCCGAGCGACCGAGTCAGGATAAAAAAAATACGTGTACATATTAGTTATTACCAAAGAACTCTGTTGATGAATAATGTTGTTGTTTTGTAAAGTTCGTTAAAAAATAATTGTTGAACTTTTTGTAAATAATCAAGAGTGGTAATTTGCTTTAACAAATAGAGAACTCTATCGATAGTCTGCAAAACTGATCGAAAGTTGAAATATTATAATTTAGAAACTCTGAGACTGTCCTTCAAACTGTGCTCTAAATTGGTGTTTCAATATACGTAAATAACGGTTTACTGTGTGTTGCATCATATCTTTACCCTTTCCCGGGCTGCAACAACAACAGCCGAAACAACGACAACAGCAGCAGTAGCAGCAGCGAGGCCGCGGCTCGGCAGCAGCAGCGCCTCTTTGCACGGCGACAGTGACCGACCCGGCAAACAAATTAGTGAACGAAACACACAACGCAGTCCAATTACTGGCAGCCCGGGCCTGAGCACTGTGCTAATAGAATACAAACAATAGAGGAGGGGAGGGCGCGGCGCGGCGGGGCGGGGCGCGGCGTGTGGGAGGCACCTGGTGACAGAGGGGCGCGCGAGCCTCTCAATCGAGGTAAGTACGACACAAGGCTGCTTTTGTCGAGGCGCCCCCACCCCGTGGCCCCGTGGCGGCGGCGGCGGCGGCGGCGGTGGCAACAGCAGAGCCGAACAACACTTTGCATCAAGGATTTCGGAAAAGCGGCTTGGCGATAGCAGGAGCGGAAGAGCGATGACGACGCCGGGGGACCACTCGTAAATTTCCGTAATTCCTTTATCATTCCTTTTGCCTCCCGCGATCGCTGCCGGCTCTCTCCTCGCCCCGTTGGAGTCTCGCCGGCCGGCGTCGGCGGCAGGTGCGCGCGCTGCCCGGCCCGACCCGACCCTCCTCTCCGCGCGATATTATATTTGTCTCAGCTCCGACTCGAGTTCGTCTCTCTCGCGCGCGCCGTCCCGCTATTTGGCAATATGTGCCGCGCGTCCTGCCCGGGGCGGCCTCGAGGGCCCCGGAGCAGGCCGGACAATACATATTGCTCACGGCCGGCTGGAGAGAGAGGCGAGGCAGGTGGGCTGATAGGCTGTATGTGGGCTGCCTG